TTTAGAGACAGGGTCTCCCTAAGTTGCCCAGACTGGCCTTTAACTCCCGGGCTCAAGTGATCCTCCTGTCTCAGCCTCCTGAGTAGCTGGGACTATAGGCATGAGACATTGCCCCTGGTTATCTGGTTCTATTTTTGATCTGAACTTCTAACAATGTGAGATTTTTTGGCCAAAACAACACGGAAGAGAGAGAGAAGTCAGAGCCTGGGGCTTCTGCAGAGAGGCTGTCCTCTCTGACAGCACATCTGCCCACACCACCTCCTGCACACAAATGTTTATAGTCACCAGAAACCACAGCACTTCCGCCTGTTCCAGACAGTGTGGCCAGCTGACCCCATCTGACCTTTTGCTTTGTTTATTAGGGAAAAAAAGCAAAAGCCCCCCCACCACCAAAAATCCCTACCACCAATGTTTGAGACAGGCTGAACCCTTAACCTCAGAGGGAGGGCAGCCTGTGGTAAGGGGAACCCCAGTGGTCAGAGGAGGGCTTGGCCACCTCCTGACCCCAGCAGAAAAACTGCGAGGGACCCTGTACCCAAGCGCTGTCCTTTTCATCCCAGTGCCTGTTTCTTCTACCACGGACTCCACAGTGTAAAATGACTTTCTTTCTTGTCAGCTGCATTTACAAAATGGTGCTGCTAAAAAGGCTGGTTATAAATGTGAAAAGACAGCTTACCAGGTGTGAACGATTGACTTGGATTCTGCATTCTGTCACCCACTGCCCCACTTCCTAGAAGGGGACGGTTTATCCCCCAGCCATGAGATATGTGGTGCCTCTCAGGCAAGTGTGTCTTTCCTGCCCCGGTGTCAGGCCTGGCCACGTGAGTGAGTGTGGCTGGTGAAACGTGGTGGAGGTGACCCAGGCCAGCTCCAAGCAGAGGCTCTAGCATGTAAACCAAAAAGTATCCAAGACAGGTCTCCATCATTGGAGAAGCTCATTTCACCAAAGTTAAGGACATCCCTGAGACACAGGTCAGTGCCTTTCTCCAAAGATGATTTTGAAGGCATCAATATTTATTTATTTATTTTTTAAGACGGGGTTTCACCATGGTGGTCAGGCTGGTCTTGAACTCCCGATCTCAGGTGATCTGCCCACCTTGGCCTCCAAAGTGCTTGGATTACAGGCACCATGCCCGGCCAAGGCATCAATATTTAAAGGGGAAAGTCAGCTGGAGGGGGGAGAGAGAGGGCACAGTAAATCACATGTTGCCACAGAAAAAGAGCAGGAAGGGGGATAGTCAATTTTGTGTTCATCTGGCACTCAGTAATGAGGACTTTACATAAGATAAAGTGAACACAGAGTAACTACCTGTGGAGATTTCTTTTTTTTTTTTTTTTTTTTTTGAGACGGAGTTTCGCTCTTGTTACCCAGGCTGGAGTGCAATGGCGCGATCTCGGCTCACCGCAACCTC